AAAATTTACAGCCTTCAACATGAGTTACATTTCAAAATCAAGAAAACAAAAATCCTCACCACTCAATCAAGAGGCAATATTATGATAGATGGAATAAAGACTAAAGTTGTCAACAATTTCATTTTACTTCAGTCCACAATCAAGAACCATGATAATAGCAGTTACACAATCAAAAGATGTAGTGCAGTGGGAAAATCTGCTGTCAAAGACCTCTCCAAATAGAGAAAGGGAAAAGATGCCAGTTTAAAGATTAAGTTGCACCTGATCCAAGCAATGGCATTTTCAATTGTTTGGATGCCTTTGAACTGTGATACTGGAGAAGTGTTCTGAATATTCTATGGACTGCAAAAGAACAAATAAGTCTGTCTTGGAGGAAGTACAACTAAGATGCTCCTTAGAGGCAAAGATGGTGAAACTTCGTCTTACATATTTGGGACATGATATTAGGAGCACCAGTCTTTGAAAAAAGACATCATGTTGGGAAAGGTGAAGGGTCAGAAAAAGAGAAGACGACCCTCAACAAGATGGACTGGACTTATACATTAATTATTACAATGGGCTCAAGCATATTAGAAATGGTGAAAATGATGGCGGATAGAACAAAGTTCAGATCTGTGGCTCATAGGGTCGTTATGAACTATAGTTAACTCAATGTTACCTAACAACAACAAAAGCTACGTGAATTGATATCTGTGAATTATGGTTTGGGCAAAGAATTTGAACTTATGTTACATGAACTGCCAAAGAATTAAAGAAATACATTTACTGCTTAAAATTTAAGGAAGCATTAATGATCTAGAGGCAAGAAGCTGCACTGCAATCCTGAAGGCATGCAGTTGGAATCCATCAGCCACTATGTGGGAGAAAGATGGGCAATGAATAAAGGAATGAATATTAAATTCACAAAATGCAGAAATAAGGAAACACAATAGAAATTAAGACATAGTAGTATGACATGCATTATTACATAAAATATATTAAATATTAATATATAATATTTAATATATTAAATACTAATACATTTTAAAGATTAAATGCTATTAAATGTGCAAATCAATATTAAATGGATGTGTTCATTAAAAAAGAAAAGAAATATACTTGTTTCTAACAAAGTGGAGAACTTCAATAGACTAACAGAAAGAAAGACTGAAATCACAGTGAGCTTCCTTACTCCAACCAAAATCTAGGCGGTTTTACAGTTGAAATCTACCAAGTTTACATAAGACAGTAATTTTTAATAAACTATATTTTAACCTAAATTGCTTCAGAAAACAGATCAACAGCAGCCCAGGTCTTTATGCAAGGCTGTATAGCATGACTCTAAAGCCACATAAATCTATTCCATTTATAAATAACCATAAAATTCTAAATAAAATGTAAACTGACTAAATTTTGGTGCTTCCAACAAAAATAATACATTAAGTACTTGTTCACCCAGAAATGTAATATATGTAAACTCACTGCATTAATATATTAAGAGAGAAAAATTGTATTATCTTTTTCAGTGTAGCTAAAGCATTTGACAAGAGTTCTATGTATTCATGATTTTAAAAAATAAGTGAAAGATTCTTATCAAACTGGAAGTGAACTTCCTTAACACTTTGAGGATTAAATACCACAGCCTACAAACTTTATACAAAACAAGAATTTCCACTATCACGTCTCCTATTTAATACAGTACTGGAGGTCCTTGCTATTATTTTAAGAATAGAGAAAGAAATAAGAAGTGCAAAGACTGAAAAGATAAAGCTGTCATTATTTATAGATGATATAATTATCTGCCTAGGAAAAACAAAATAAATTCACAATATTAGAATAAGAGAATTCAGGAGGGTTCTATAATTAAGGCAAACAGTTAGTGAACTTGACTGCCAACCAAAAGGTTGGCAATTTGTGTTTATTCCAAGGCACTTGGGGAGAAACACCGGGCGATCTTCAGAAAAAGCAATCTCAAGAAACCGTACACATCACAGTTCTATCTAACACACAAAGGACTGCCCTGAGTTGGAATCAACACCAAGTGTGCATTGGTGGCAGTGGTAGTGGTAGTAGTGCAGTATCTTAAAACTGACTGACCAACTGAATGTTGTTGTCAGGTGCTGTCGAGTCAAGTACAACTCACTGTGACCCTATGAACAAGATCTGAACCCTGTCCTATCCTGTGCCATCCTCATACTATCTGATATGTTAGAGGCTAATGTGGCAGTCACTGCTGTCAATCCATCTGGTCGAGGGTCTTCCTCTCCTTCACCGACCCTCCATGCTTCCCAGCATCATGTCACTCTCCTAGCAACATGCCCGAAGTATGTGTGGCAAAGCCTCATCATCCTTGCCTCCAAAGAACACTCTAGCTGTACCTGCTCCATGACATATCTGTTCTTTAGGCAGTCCATGGATGTTCAGTGCTCTTCTCCAATACCATAGCTCAAAGGTGTCAATACTTCTTCGTTCATACCTATTCATTGTCCAGCTCTCAGTATTTTTCTACATCTCAAGTAGAGATTTCTCTATACCATAAGCAAATATATTTAAATTATAATTAATTTAAAGTAACAGGTATAATTAAAAATCAAATTCCATAAAATAGCAACACAATCGCATAAAAGTTTCCAGAAGTTAGTTTACCCAAGAAAACAAGACTTCTATGGGTAAAAAGACAAAATTTTAATTATGACATAAAACAAATTGAATAAATGCAATCGTTTATTTTCTTAGGAGGAGTAATTTAATATTATAAAGTAGAACAATTCTCCCCAATTAGTCTATACATTTAATACAATCCTAGTAAAAAATTTACGTTAATTTTTTTTACAAATAATAAAACTTTAAAATTTAAGTCAAAGTAAAAGACATACAAATTATTAGGTCAACTTTCAAAGAAAGAGAACCTGTTCTATCAGATACGGAGATATGGTGCAGGCAAAGCCACAGTATAACTAACACTGGCTATATCAGACAGGAATATACTGGAAAACAGACAAACCAGTGTGCAAATGGAAGCTTGTTGTTGTTAAGTGCCGTCGAGTCGCAGGTGACTCATAGTGACCCTATGAAGGAGAGTCCTCAATGCTTAGGTGCCCTTCATCCTCCAGGTTCTTAAGGTTTCTGGAGGCAAGCTATTATGGAAGTGGATGCCACTCCTCCTTCCAAGCTTGTTTTAATCGGGGAGCTCCACTCCACTCTCTGTCCGCATTGGGTAGCCAACCATTAACGCATTTGACATATCAGTGTCACAGTGAAATGGAAGCTTAGTATGTGATAAAGTTGGTATAAGAAATCAATCAGTATGGCAAGTTTAAATTGTTTAGGAGACAGCAATGAGAATCAAAGAGGAAAAATAAAGGTGATCTTCACTGAACTTCATAACCAAAAGTGGTCTGTAAAAGGATTAACAGATTAGTAAGGTAAACATTATAACATTAAGAAAAAAATGCAGAATCTCCTCTGTGATTGAGGATCAGAAAAAAGGCTTTCTAATAAGAAAATTCAAACGAGACAAAAAACATGTTGATGAATCTGATTACATGAAAAGCAAGAATTTCAGTTCTGATGTGAAGTTGACAAGGAATTAAGAACTAGAATATTTAAGGGGAGCTCTGGTGGCCTAGTGGCAAGGAGCTGCAACTACAATCCCAGAGGCAAATGGTTCAAATCCACCAGATGCTCTGCTGGGGAAGGAGGGACAATCTCCTCCTGTACCAGTCAGATCTGATTTGACGGTACATACACACAAAAATAATAAAATTTAAAAAAAAAAAGAACTAGAATATTTAATGAATCTGACAAATCATTTAAGAAAAGACTGAAACATCTAAGGAAAAATAAGCAAAAGAATGACTAGTCAATTCCAAAAGCAAAATATCCAAAAGGCTAAAACACTTATAGAAAGATGGTCAAACTCTGTAACAGCTTTAAACCCTCAAAGTTCATTGTTAGCTAGTAGATTCAGCCTCATGGTGACTCTACAGGACAGAGAAGAACTGCCTCAAGGGCTTTCAAAGGCTGCAAATTTTTAGGGAAGTAGTCTCCCAGATATTTTTCCTGAGAGGTGGCTAGTGTGTTTTAACTGCAACTTTCTGGTTAGAAGCTAAGCATTTAACCACTAAGCCACCAGGGCTACTAATAACTGTAGCAAAACAAATAGAACGAAGAAAATTCAATTCACAGTCATTAAAATGGCAAAAATTAGAATCCTGGGAAATTCAAATGCTAGAAAAGGCAGGATATAAAATCCTCACATATGCTGGAAAGATAGCCAAGGGTAGTCATTATGGGAATAACATTGCTTTATGTCGTCACATGAGGGAGCTCTGGTGGCCTATTGGAAAGGAACTGTACTGCAATCCCAAAGGCATGTAGTTCATGTTTACCAGCTACTAGGCAGGAGAAAGGTGGGCAATTTGTTTCTGTGCAATTAAACTACCTCTAAAAACCTACTGTAGGGTCATCTATGGGTCAGTTTTGACTTGACAGTATACAACAAAATCATCACATCAGGCTGTACGCATTCTCCATCTTTTTAAGAGGACAGGAACAAGGATGTTCACTGCAGAGTAATCTGAAATGGCAGGGAAAAGGCAATCCAGATGTTCACATAAGTAATCTAGAAATCTGGTTAAAACCAATGAAGAGAATCCAGACAGATGATGGAGCAGAGCTGTTGAGCGCAACAGAGAAGACATACACATAGCTATAGTATTTGCACAAACTAAAATAACATGCATACCAAACAAGGCCACTCATTTTAAATTTCTTAACAATAAAAGGCTCTGTATACTAGAATGGCTTTCTATTGAGGGAAAAGAATGGAGACAAAAGGTAATAAATAAGTGAACAATTATGATAAGGTGGCAAAAATGAAGAAAATTAGTAAATCAATACAAAGATTCAGAAAAAGTCCCTCCAAAAGGAAAAATTCTAAGAAGATTCTCAGTCACAACCATGTCCTCTCACTAGGTTACCACCCAAACACAGGAAATAAATGGGAGTGAGGTGAGTACCCGAGTCTCCAGGATGCCAATGGTTGTGGCCTGGGTGCTTCTGGCTGCCAACAGCTGCTGTCTCGTATCCTCTAAATTCTGCTCAACAACTATTTTCTGTAAGTTGAGGTAGATAAAACAGTCAATTCGGCAGTGGCATGTATTTATTAACATTTACCACATACTATATGATTTGTGCTCAACAAACTTTTAAAAAAATAACCCCACAAATAACTTAATTGAACAGAATTAATGTATTATTAAGTATATATGGATAAATCATAAATTTGACAGTTTCTTGCTTAAGACTGGAACAAACCAAGACCAAGAAATTATAAAGTGAAGTATATTAAAGAAGCATTCAAGAAATGATAGCCACTCAATTCCCAAGTGGCTATGGAGTCGGGAGGGGGATCTCGTGATGTAATTCTTGGCAAATGACACAGCTAACTCAAATGCTGCACCCCTCCAATGGTTCAAATCCACCAGTGGCTCTTTGGGTGAAAGATGAACAATCTTATTATTTACAACTTTGGAAATCCAATGGGAAGTTGCTCAGAGTCGGAACCCACTGATGGCAGTATGTGAGGGAGTAGGGAGCAGCATAACCAACAGGACAGAGTCTGAAATCACCTGGTGCCTTCAGGGAATGACAACTAGTGAAAAAGCAAAAAAGAAGGATTTATGTCAAGAAACAAAGACTAGAGAAGTAGGCAAAAGGCCAAATCATGGAGGCTCTCTTCGTTTTGTGCACAGTAATTTTTTGGAGTGAGGTCTTCTAAATGGTGGCATTAAACCTGCCTTGGGTATTGTTAATATAAGGTCTATTCTAGGCCTACGGAAATCAGACTTTCTCATGGTAGGGCCAGAGATAAACACTTCAAACAAAGTCTCCAAGTAATTCATCCACATACTAAATTTAGAGAACCACTGTTAAAATCATGATTGTAACATAACAATAACATAGAAAGCTGTCAAATATTTTATTCTCTACTGTGTTTCTTGCACCATTCTAAGTACTTGACATATTGATGATTTTGCTCTGTGAATATGTCACAGAGGAAAACTGCTCTATAGGGCTTTAGGCTATATGTTTACAGAAATAGATAAATAAGCTTGTTTTTTCTATTAGATGGGTTTGGACCAGCAAACTCAACCAGCTTTTAATTACCAGTCAAGTGAAAACTGTCTGTAGCCAGTCATTTAAGCTTCACATATGCAATGCATTAAATCTAAAATCAATTTTAAAAGTGTGATATTACTGAAACTACTTGACAGATAAGGAAACAAGCACAAAGAGATTAAGTTAGTTGCTTTAAATCACAAGCTAGTAAGCAGAAGAGGCAAAATACTAACCTAGGCAGTTGGACTTTAGAAATCAATTTATACTCTGTAACCCATATTATACTCATGTGGGGATGTTTGGGAAGATGTTTATGGGAGTGATGTGGTCAGAAGTAGTGCTCAGGAACTTAGTTTGGCAGTTAAGTGTGAAAGTCTGTGCAAGAGGGTAAAGAAGAGATTGTTGCTGGTAGGACAGTCTGGAAACTGTTAATACAGACTAGGAGAAATTGCTGGAAGCTCTAAGCTACAAGAAAATTCAGAAAGGATGCAGTGAGTTGAACGAAGATAGAAAGTGAGTGTCTATTATAATCTCCAAGATTTTAGCTTGGTTTTCTTCATCATGGGGATAGTATTCCTTGGGATTTTTTTCTTTTAAAAAGAGAGAAGTATACAGATGAGCTCAGACCAGATGAGAAAGTAAGCTCACATCCCAAAAGGTTAGTCTGTGCAGTGCAGAAGGTAGAGGGGAGGAATAGGCATAGGGTGGAGAGAGCAGAATTAAGTAAGACAGACTATGTAGCATAAATCATGACATGTGGCTTACTAGTTCACTAGGATGGACTCTGTTATGCATCTCTGTAAAAAACTCTCCCCTCCCTAAGATGATTATAAGCAATACACACAGGGAACATGAGGCTGAGTTTATGTAAGCAGTACAAGTCAAACTTGGAGAGAACTTTCTCTTCCACAAGCTGTTCTTTCCTAGCTCTCCAGCTCTAAACCCCCAGGATTTTAGGTAATCATGTGTCACCACTGCCTTTTTTAACACTTGTGGTACAGAGGAGAGGTAAACTGACCTCCTTTAGGAGTTCTTGCACATGTTCTTCGCCTGACAAGTTCTGTTCCAGCCTCTTCTCCAAGGATGTTATCTTCTCTTGCAAATACGTGATGAATGTTTCTTTCTCTTGAGTGTCAGCAGTGACCTACAGGTGAAAGCAGATGAGATCACATTATACTATTAACTCGCTCCCTACTTTCTTGTGTCTTTTGGGACAATGATGTTTCCCTGAGATTCTGTTCTCAGCTCCATCCCATAAGAACAGAAAATATGCATGATCAGAACGCAACAATCTTCAGAGATCCAGTTCAGACAATGCATTAAGAGGCAAATGCTCTCCCCTCATTTCAGCTGTTGGCAACCACCAGCCATTCTGCGGGAAAAAGATATGGCAGCTTGATTCCATAAAGATTGCTGCTGTCAGGTGCCATCAGTCAAGTGTAACGGTATGAACAATAGATCTGAAACCTATCCTATTCGATACCATTCTCACAATCTCTGACATACCTGAGCTCATTGCAGCAGTCACAGTATCTCTCCATCTGGTTGAGGGTTTTCCTCTCTTTAACAGACTCTCCAGCTTTCTAAGCACCGTATCCCTCTTTAAGGAACAGCCTCTCCTACTAACATGCCCGAAGCATGTGAGACAAAGCTTTGTTATTTTTGTGTCTAAGGGGCACTGTGGCTGCATCCTCTCCAAGATATAGTGGTTTATCCTTTTGGCAGTACTCTTCTCCCACACCATAGCTCAAAAGCATCAATTCTTCTCCTTTCATCTTTATTCACTGCCAGCTCTCAGAAGATTATCAAGTGATTCAAAGGGTCATGGCCTGAATCACTCAAACTGACATTATTTCTCAATAATTTGGGGAAGTCTCTGACTACAGACTTTCCCAGTGCTGTCCGTATGTCTCCCGATCTCCTGACTGCTGGTACCAAAGATGTTCATTGTGGATCCAAGTAAGAAGTCACTGGCCGTTTCAATTTTTTCTCCATCAATCATTGATAGTGCCTATCAGTGGTGAGAATTTTTGTTTTCTTGATGCTGAGATGCACTCCATAGCTTGGAAATCTTAGAGGGGAATTCTACTCTGTCCAACAGGGACATTAGGCTTGTACTAACCCTGGTCACCTTCCCTTATTCTTCTTGGCTGAGGTCCTCCTCATTGGTCTAGCATTTAAATTTTGAAATTCCTCAAGGAGTAAATTCCTTTTTTCCAACTGATATTTTATCAAAAATTTACAGAAAACCTGGGTTTCCATTCATTGACTGTTGCACATTTTCCTCCCTACACTCTACCCATTTCGCTTTTCTCTTTAAAAAGATTCTATTACTGTTGTACAATTTCCCCACCCCGCCAGGCCACCTTGCCACATACTTCCTATTCTGCACTGTTGTCATGCAAGCAATACCCAATCATATATCTCTTTTAGACAATTCCTTCTCTCATCTACTTTAATGCAGTATTTATTATTTATCCCCTTTTCATAGTTTTCCCCCAACTCCCATGTCAGTCTTGTTTTATAACAGTGGCATTATGCAGTATTTGTCCTTTTGTGACTGATATATTTTACTCAGCATAATGTCCTCCAGGATCACCCATTTTGTATGAGTTCCTCGTTTTTCAGTGCTGTATAGTATTCCATTGTGTGACTATACCACAGCCTCTCTACCCATTCATTTGTTAATATCTACTTGGGGCTGCTTCTGTGAACAATGCAGCAATAAACATGGGCATCAAGGAATACATTCTTTTCCTGCTTTGGTATCAAAGAATAGACAGCTATAGGCCAATATCTCGCATGAATATTGATGTAAAAATCCTGAATCAAATTCTGGCAAATAGAATTCAACGATACATTAAAAAAATAATTCACCATGACCAAGTGGGATTCATAACAGGTATGTAAGGATAGTTCAACACAAGGAAAACAATTAATGTAATTCATCACATCAACAAGGCAAAGAACAAGAACCATACGGTCCTATCAATTGATGCAGAAAAAGCCTTTGAT